ATATAAACTGGTTCTCATGTGAACAAACAGAATCTGTTGGCGAGGGACAAGATTTTGGGGTTGGAATTCTTGTTCTTGTTTCTAGTTTAACCGATCACGTTTGAGCAGGATTTGGTTGCTCGCAGGTAAACTCTCAGTGTGGAGAGCAAAAGACACAGAACTTATTGGGTCAGTGTGTGAACCGTTGTGTTGGATGAGAGTATTGATCTCACCTGTTGAGAAAGGCTCTGCTTTACTTCGTGGTGATGGCAGCTGTTGAAGTTGCACCTGCATCTGTTGTACCTTCTGCTGCAGCGCCACCCCCTTCTGCTGCTGTGACGTCGATGTGTGCGGGAACGGCTGCTGCATGAGCGCGTGAGCTGAGCTGTGTCTCTGCGTCAGGGCAGGGGTGGACAACGCCATGGCTTGCATGTGCAACGACGGCATCAGCTGCACGGGCGAATGCGTGTGCAGCGGCTGCGTCTGTGCGGTGGGTCGAGGCTGGAGAGACTGCAGGAAGGTGTGCACCTGGCTGAGGGGCGGAGTTTCAGCACTGGTGGGTGTCGGCTCTTCGTCGTCCTCCAGTAAAGCTTGGGGAGGTTGTGCGGAGAGGGTGCCCAAGATGCCGTGTGACGGGGGTGAAGGGACACGAGGACGGGGGACTGGCTGGGGAAGCGTCTGGGGAAGCGTCAGGGGAAGCGAAGGCTGAAGTTGGGGTGAGGAGGATGGGGGCAGGGAGGGGAGCTGTGGAGGCTGTGGGGGTTTGGGGGGAAGCGGTGCTGCGCGGTTGCTAGGTCTTGATGGTTGCTGGGGCAGAGCATTGTGGATCGCTTCAAAGAAGGAAGGAAAGAGAATGATGTGAAGAGTTCAGAAAAACAACATTGCAATTTAAAGAGGCAGTCACAACAGTGTGAGGAACCACTGACCATGGAATCACTGAGGTTAACTGCTAATTACATGAAATGAATCTGGCAGAATGAATAATAAATAATAGATAGCAGCTATAAATAGCATCAGACATTGGGGTTAATATCATGAAAATCATATCTTGTCCACCAGATATGTCAAATATCGTTTGAGTTCAACCTGTTTGTTGCTTAGTTGATAAAAATTGCCTGCAGATATGAATAATCTTACATAAAACTGTGTTTTAGAATATATTGGATTCTTGTGAGGACTGGCTGCTCATCCTCCTCTACATTGAAAAATCTAGTAGCTTTATTCATTAAATATCATAATAATTAAGTATCACGGAAGTACCTGGCGAGGGTATGATGGGATGTTGGTTGAGGAAAGGATGCGTCTCAGTGGCCATCTGGCTACTGGGTGTGTTTGTGTTGAGGAGGCCGGGGGTGACGGGGACACCAGCAGCAGTAATGGTTGGATTCGGCTCCGCGTTAGACTGCGTCAGGTGAGGGTTCATGAAGTGAGCCAGAGGATCAAATCCTGAGGTCAGCAGCTGGGATGTGTCCAGAGATGGGACGGGGACAGAGGGAGGGGCGACAAACGGTAGTTTGGATTGGACGACTTGAGGCAGAGGCTGAGGCTGCGGCTGAGGCTGAGGAGGGACAGGGACGACTCCGCTACTGAGGGACTGGTGATGTGGTCGCTTGATGTCTTTAATAGTTGAGGTCTTCTTCTGCTGTTTGGGAACCAGCCCTGGTGGAATGAAACATGAAATTAGGAGGAAATCAACAGAAAAGCTGATCACGTGAGGAGCCATTCAATGTCGTGTGTGTACATTACCATTCTCAGAGTCTTCACTGTCAGAGGAGTCGCTGCTGCCTGAGGATGAAGATCCCGTCTTCATCTTAGTCACATTTGTTGTTTCCAGAGGCTTCTCTACTGCAAAACACCCACAACATTCAGAAATTATTTAACTGTTTAAGAAACTAAATCACCGGAAACCCATGTTGTAGAGGAAGTTAAGGAAACATACAGAACCCCTGAAGTCCCAAAAGATTTGTATTTAAAGAAGATGTTTGTGTTTTAATCACTCAGATGCACACAGCCAACAGACTTGTACCATAGATGGAGAAAACTCTGCTAATCATGTCACACATTGACATTTTAGTGCTGCCTAACGCTACACGACTGAACTAAACTACTACACTTAAAATAGTGTTAGAGCGAGACCTTGACGTGAAAAGCGCTTTGACTCAGCTGAGAAGTAATAAAAGTCCAGTTAAAACAAGCACTGAGCAAAATAATCAGCCCACCTGATGTCTTTTTCTTCTTCTTGAGGCAGCTGGAGACGTATTTCTCCAGCTCCCGCAGCGTAGAAGGCTTCAGCGTCTCGAAGTCGATCTCGATTTCATCCGGGTTGGAGTTCTTCAGCGAGGGCTCACGTGTTTGAATTATGTGCACGACGCGGCCCAGTTTGTCACCGGGCAATTTGTTGATGTCAAGGCTCAGCTGACGCTTCTCCTCGTACGACATAGGCTTGCATCTTTCAGTGGACATGCCCCCAAATACATCTGGGGAGGAAAGCATAACAGCAGCACGACACCATTGTTAAAGTCATAAACATTTTACAGACAGAAAATCACGCTCATGTACACACGTACCAATTTCATCTTCTGCTTCGAGAGAAGCCGAGGGGACGAGAGGCGTCGGCCCTGGTTGAGGAGGAACAGTTGGGCGGCTGTTTTTAACTCCTTCTTTCTTCCTGTGATTGACGGATGATCTGATTAGCTCCAGGGAACGCAGCTACAACAACATCACTGACATGAAGTCTGTAAAACCTACCCGGGCTTTTTCCTTTCCTTCTTCACAGTGATTGGCTCCTTGCTGCTCTTGCTTTTCTTAGCGGTCTGAAGCATCACAGGCGGAGGGGCCTCCACTGTTTCCTCTGCTCCCATCTTCTTCTTGTGCTTTTCTTTCTTCTTCTCTTTCTTCTCCCTCTCTTTTTTCTTGGGCTTGCAGGTCTGCGGCTGGGAGAGTGCTGCCAGTTGTTCGTGGACAGCTTTAAGCTAGAGGAAACGGGAAAAACACAATTGTGATCTTAGAGAGACGAAAACAAAGCAGCCTGCGCATTTCTTTCTCCGTGTTTCAGCAATTACCCACATTCGGTAAAGCTGTTCTGCGTGGCCCACCCACCTGTTGTGTCTCATTAGCCTCCCTCCCCCTTCATTTTCCATCCTCTAACCTGTTCCTGTAACTCAGCCAATCGATGTTGCCTTTCTTGTTCTGAGCCTCCTCCCGAGGACTCCGATTCGGAGGAGCTGGAGCTCTCGTCTCCCGAGACAGCAGAAGGAGGCTGGGCTTGTCGAGTGGAGGGGGCAGGGTGGAGGGCCGACGACGGGGTGGGAACAGGGGTGGGCTCCTCTGGCTCATCAGGCATTTTGGCGAAACGCATCTCGAACACGTCCTGTTCGGAGAAACAGGAGAAACTGTGAACCGGAAATATAACTTTTCTAAAACTTTTAACGGAAATAATACATAAACATGTTGTGCATGTAATTACATGGCTTTAACTATTATATAATAAGTGTGTAATATAATATGATGATATCTGCTCATTAACAAACACATTACTGGCTGATTTGCTGCGACTTTAAACATCACCGTGTCATAATATATATTGGTGACCTGTGTCTTACTGTTCTCATATTCTATTCTATTTTCATTGAAATTATTTTTTACCCGTATTTATTAAAGTCAACAGGTTGATTTGTTAAAACAGAAAATTAATTTAGAACTGAATGCATCACCCAACAATATATGACCAAAAGAATGTGGACACCTAACCAGAACATAATTGACAGTTGAACACCTCAACCCACGTTTTAATTTGCTTCCTCTTCTCAGAGGTGCACACGACCTTTACATTTCACAGCATGTTTTTAAACCTAAGGATGGATGTTTTCATCAGCGTTTATTTAACCATTAATTAATTGTTATACTCAAAAACTACTGCACGGATTACCACAAAATTTAGTCGAACGATGTGGTATGGGAACAAATTAAAGTTTGGTGCAGTTCCGGAATCTTTTGAATCACTTTTGGTCATATGCTGCATATAATGTTGTAAGACGTGCTACCCACCTGTAATTTGCGTGCCATGGAGACCACATCATGGTCTGGAGGATTGTACTTGTAACAGTTGGAGAACATCAACCGGACTTCTGCTGCAAACTCTTGAGCGTCTCTGTACTGTTTGTTGTCCAGCTTTTTCTAAAGGGAGACAAACAGATGTGTCTTCATTAGTTATCAGAATGGTAACGATAATTTCATATTCTTGCTTCCCTGGCCAATTATAAATCAGGCAGCTAAATACTGGCTCTCTCTTTTATTAAGTTATTAGAAATCATTACATGCTGATATCCAGTCCTGATAAAATCACCTTGATGGTGCTCAGATCCATGGGGTGCTTGATGATGTCATGGTAGTCGTGGAGGCCGAGAGCTCTAACATCAACAGGCTTGTAAAAAGGCCAGGCATATGCTGCATGTTTCTTGGACAGCATCTCTCTGACAAGGCGCGCACAGGAACGCAACTGCTCCTGACGTTTTGGTGTCGCCATCCCTCCCGTTTCCAAACCAGCGACCAGGTGATGTTGGGAATCTGGCTGCGACGCGTCTCTTTTGGGTTGCTTCAATGGACGATTGCTGTCTCGACGTGGCCGAGCCTCGGCAGAGACAGGAGATGATTCACTGAGCTGGTCGTTGGCGGTGGGGGTGGTGGTGTCTGCTTTCCTCTTCTGGCTCTTTCTTTGCTGTTGGAGCACCAGAGGTCAGAGGTGAGAAAATGAGCCTGTGCGTTTCAAGAATGACAGTTTTTTCTTCTCCATTTCCTTACCTTGATAAGGGCGGGGGAACTCTGTAGCATCGGGACGGGAAGGAGGCCTGGGTGTGTTGGTGCTGAAGGGGGAACAGAGGTCATGCCTTGGGCCAGGACATCTGTGGCTGAGAGGGGGAATGGGGTTCCCAGATGGGTGTGGGAGGTGGGTGTAGGAGGCACACGTGGGGGAGGCTGAGGCTGCAGTATAGGTTGAACCAAGGGCTGGATCAAGGGCTGGATCAAGGATTGGACAAAGGGCTGGGCCAAGGGCTGGGCCAAGGGCTGGTGTAGGGGCTGGTGTAAGGGCTGGTGTAGGGGCTGGTGTAGGGGCTG